AAATATCAAGCTCTAGAATTTAACTATTTTTTAAAATGTAATATAACAACTCTATGAGTAATACTATAGTGGCGCTTGATCTCCTTCAGAAGTGAGTGATTATAATGTTCGTCACAATTTCAGGCGTTCATGAAAGTTTGGACTAAAATACATGGTAGTGCAAAGAGTTCACCAGTTACGACCACCAAAAACAGTAAAGATTTTGTCAGGTGCAACTACCAGAAACAGTAAAGATTTTGTCAGGTGCGACCACCAAAAACAGTAACAATTTCACCAGTTATGACCACCAAAAACAGTAAAGATTTTGTCAGGTGCGTCTACCAGAAACAGTAAAGATTTTGTCAGGTGCGACTACCAGAAACAGTAAAGATTTCACGAGTTACGACCACCAAAAACAGTAACAATTTCACGAGGTGCGACTATGAGAGTAGGTTTCTGTAACATTTTTCTGAGTCTAGTTTATTTTACCTTACAACTAAATATAGTTTTAAAACGGTTCTTGTTATTACCTGCTTTGGTAATCCGTAGAAGGTACAATAATCTGTCAGTTTGTTGGATATCATTACAAACAAAATGAATTTAATTTATAAAAAACACCTTGGGAAATGTTACACAAATCGTTGTTTGAGCATCATCTTTCTGTCCATTTAATCAGAACCTCTAAAATCCAGAGTAATAGGTTCCTAAAGCTTTCATGTTTTGTGATTATAAAACCTTTAAATGAAGAATTACCTACATTTTTATAATTTATATGCGGGAAGCCACCCTGTGGCAAACCAATAGGCTTAATGACTTCTAACGTTAAAACTCAGGATTCGAACCCTACGGTTTGTGCTTAATAAAAAATTAGATATTCGAAATTATTTGATACAAATTAAGAAATACACTGGAGCGTTTGTTAATAATTTAAAGTGATGTCGAAGTAATTAAAGTTTCGAACATTATAATTTTAAGTAGATCAATTTTAATTTCCCATTACGCTTGCAGATTAATTGGTTAAATCTTTAGTACAGCAGACATATTCGCTCTGTATACGTCACGCTTATAAATTAAATAGTAATAAAAACATTTGACAACTTGTTGAGACAATAAATTCCAAAAGTACCGAATTAGTAATAGTTCCTGTTTAAAGTTAAATCTATTTAATTTTAATGATCAAAATGTTAGCACGAAGGCATGACGAGTAAGGAAGCGTCACTCGGGTGTTTAAGTGAGAACCGGGTTAGTGTATACACCCACTCATCACATGACAACAGGATTGAGAACTAGATACGACAGCCTCGTTTTCACGCACTCCCGGTTACACTTTTGTTTTATTCAGGAACTGGAAGGAGAGTCTTAATTACACGACCTAAGTGACAAATGAGGGCAGTGTGAAAGTTAGAAGTTTCGTTGGAAGAGGCGGAGATGTGACCTTATCATTTTTTTTCTTATTCTAACCACGATAATGTAAAAGTTAGAATTATACACTAGAAGGGTGGTATGACTTTATCTTTTGTTTTCTTAACTTTTCTACTCAATATATCCGAATAATCTTTTTTTATGTTAACATGTTTTTGAAATGAGGGAAGATAAAAGTATTTCTACCTGAAGTATGTACTTTAATAAATTTACATTCTGTATTTTAAGATTATTAATACACTAGCGCTGTGTGGACTTATGCAGTAATAAGTTACTAAAGCTAACAACCAATAGAACAAAGTCAGTACTAGTAATTCTAGTTAGAAAAAAAATCCACATCTTACGTCAATATAGTATCGGAGTTTCACATTATTTGATTTAATAACTTGTTCGACTGTCTGTATTCATTGTGCTCAGTTTGCACGAGGAACAAGTTATATCTATACAAGCTTGCTACAAGTTTTATTTATAGAAGCTTGCTACAAGTTATATCTATACAACCTGGCTACAAGTTATATCTATACAAGCTTGCTACAAATTATATTTATACAAGCTTACTACAAGTTTTATTTATACAAGCTTACTACAAGTTATATCTATACAACCTTACTACAAGTTATATCTATACAACCTGGCTACAAGTTATATCTATACAAGCTTGCTACAAGTTATATCTATACAAGCTTGCTACAAGTTTTATTTATAGAAGCTTGCTACAAGTTATATGTATACAAGCTTGCTACAAGTTATATCTATACAAGCTTGCTACAAGTTTTATTTATAGAAGCTTGCTACAAGTTATATCTGTACAAGCTTACTACAAGTTATATCTATACAACCTTACTACAAGTTATATCTATACAACCTGGCTACAAGTTATATCTGTACAAGCTTTCTACAAGTTTTATTTATAGAAGCTTGCTACAAGTTTTATTTATAGAAGCTTGCTACAAGTTATATCTGTACAAGCTTACTACAAGTTATATCTATACAAGCTTACTACAAGCTTCATATTCCTACCCAAGTTTTTCTTCAATGCTCATGATTTTCATATTTCTTTTTTTTTTAGAATTCCATTTAGTTTGGTGCATTTATCTTTGTTTTACCAACTTCGTCGTTTGCTTATTCTTACGCTTTGTTGGAATAATTGTTATTATAGAATGCTAAAATAATCTCATTTATGCAAATGTTTTCAGTTGTTTGGTTACCAAGCACAAGAAATAATTTCTAGCAGGTTTAGGTTTCCATTCATTGATAAACATTGCTAATAGAGAAAGTACGAATGCAATATGTTTGTTTGAAACTTCAGAGGGAAATCTTGACCTAAACTGCAATACTTTAATCAAAAACAATTGAAACTCTATGGCGAACGTTAGGCCTATGATAAGTAATGAAACACTGCCTTATATAGCAAATGTTTAATCTTCTTAACTCTTTACAAAGTTTCAGCCGGAAATAAGTTATCAGAATGAGGAAACCAGGCAATAAATAAATATCTGGGATCCTCCATGACCTTCCGTGATGTATTGATTGAAATTTTTGGATAAAATTGGATGAAACTTTTCTAACGTGATTGGCAACCAATTGTTGGTTTTATTTTTAGCCGCGGCATAACGGCTCATAGAATGGCTCCAAGTTTGTAAAGTACAAACTTTTAGTTCATAGCTCCATCATCTCTTGACCAATTTGAAATCTAATTACGGTTTTGGACTCAGGAGCTCAAACCCTTTCGATTGGTTTATTTGACCACGCCCAAGGTCTCATAGATTAATTTACTCTAATTGAGGGTAAGCTGGTAAAGATCCTGATGAGTAATAAAATCGCATCGGGTATACGCGCGCTCCACGTTTGATATTGCTGGCGTACAAAAACATAACTAATAAAAAGGAAAACACATTTCATAGATTAACCTACTATAGTCCTGCCGAAAAGAATTTCAAGTACCGCGGCTGTTGAGAATGTCCACTTGTTTCTCATTGAACTGAAGCCGGCTCTTGCCTTGACTGCTGTGTTTTTATGGAGATTAACCGAGAAAATTCTTAATTATTTATAATAACAATAGGAATCTTCAATAGTCGCGGCACTTGAAATTATTTTAGGCAGTATTAGTGTAAATTAATCTACGAGACCTTTTATTTTTCCTTTTTATTAGCTATATTTTTGTGCGCCAGCAATACCAAACATGGGGCTCGTGTACACCCGATTCGATTTTATTACTCCTCAGGATCGTTACTAGTCTACCCTCAAATTGAAATTATTTTAGACAGGATTAGAATAAAAGGTTAACATTCAAGAAACTTGTGAAAAAATAATTTAAAATATTTCAAACGATCAACGTTTTTAACTTACACAATTAAAATACATAAATCGAAAGGGTTTGACCTCCTGAGTTCAAAACTGTAATTAGATCTCAAATCGGTCAAAAGATAACAGAGCTATGAGCTAAAAGTTTGGACTTTACAAACTCAGAGCCATTCTATGAGCCGCTATGGCGAGACTAAAAATAGAATCTGTAGAGGTTTTGATCAACATAATTTTATTTATGTTGGTGTCATTAATGAGGTCCTCGAAGTTTCTCCTTTAGAAAAACTAGTAAGTGCTATATTTATAAGTACAAACATGAACTCATATTTATAAGTACAAACATGAACTCGTATTTATAAGTACAAACATGAACTCAAAGATCGATATTGCAGTTGTCTTTCATTTAATAAAGTTTTCGTGTGTTAAAAATAAAAAAGGGTTAGTGAGATTCAGTCTGCTTATAAACATGGCAAAAATTTTCGTTATGTCTAAAAACTTTTTTTAAAGTTATCAACATTTGTTTAAATGTAAAATTCATGCATATTCTTTACAAATTTAGAAGAATACAGAAATTCGACGAGTATTTAATAAGATCCGAGAAAACTCAAGAAAGTTGTATTTAGGAAACAAACTGGCGTTTCGGTTAATTTTTCAACAATTCTATGCTTATATTTATATTCATTTTTATCGATTACAAGATTATTTTTGTTATTTAAGGATTCTAAGGTCTGATGCACAATTTTATTCTGTAATTTTCGGAGTCATATTTAAGTCCTGGCTGAGGCCCAGAGACTGAGGATTAGCTGAAAGGTTTTCTAGCGTAAAGTCGTGTTAATCTGTCAGAATTCTAAAGTGAAAATATGATAGAGTTTGAAGATGTCAGAAGCAGCTCTCGTGCATAAATAGTTTCATGTTTTTCAATTCTTAAGTCAAATATGGAGCTTCTTTGACATTTCTAGGGTAAGAATTACTAAAACGAAATCTTTAGTTATTTGCTTCATTACGTTTTAAGTGTGGTGGACATCGTAAGCTTCTGGTCCAGCTTTAAAGACTGTATTGTAACCTTTTTTTAAATTCTTATATTATTAAAAGCCCTGCTCTTACAGAGCTGACAGGGGTAAGCAGATTAAATGTTCTCGAGCATGTTCTATGCCTGATATTTTTGTTTAAATGTGATAACAGACGAAAATGTTCAATTAAAATCTTATGACATTCCTAATCACTATTTTTGTTACTGAGAGCTACTGACTTATGATCGTTATATATATAAAAGGGTGACTGATTTTTTCCTACAGCTGTACAAAGCCTGTGTGGTCGACAACGAGTTAGAAACAGTCGTATTGTCCGAGGCTCAGATGCTTATGATGGAGAGTTTCCTTGGGCAGTAAGTTATTTTTTATAGTTTTTGTTTGTTTTCTTTGAAGGAGCTCACAGAGTTTTGGTGAGAAACATTATGCTTATCATTCAGTATTTGTTTATGTTTGTATATTTTGAAAATATTGGTAGTTTCTTCAGTAATACTACAGATGTCGATGAATATCGAATTGTCACTCAAATACTAGATGCTCTGTACTTTATAATTGACAGACCCATAAATTGTCTGATTATCATTATATTATTAATTTTTAATCTCTGATAGCTTAAAATATAAAATGTTTTTTTTTTACATTCACGGTAAAACCATATGACTTTACACTATGTTAATTATGGGGAAAATATGACTTTACACTATGTTAATTATGGGGAAAAATATATGACTTTACACTGTGTTTATTATGGGGAAAATATGACTTTACACTATGTTTAATTATGGGGAAATATATGACTTTACACTATGTTAATTATGGGGAAAATATATGACTTTACACTATGTTTATCATGGGTAAAAATATATGACTTTACACTATGTTAATTATGGGGAAATATATGACTTTACACTATATTTATTATGGGGAAAAATATGACTTTACGCTATGTTTATTATGGGGAAAAATATGACTTTACGCTATGTTTATGATGGGCAAAAACAGTGTGTCAAAACATTCCATGCTTATAAACAAAAATAAAATATTTATTGCCGAGATGATGTCCTTGCACGTGAAGATAGAACTGCAGGCGTTCTAAACACTGGACAATGCGTAATATGATATTCCCCTGGTGGTTACTTGAGTAACTAGTTGCATAAATAACCCATGTGAAGCCTTTCACACGTGTCTCACGTATCGAATAATTTAATGAAAAGTACCTCGGAACTAAACTTTTGGAAAACCCTGTACAGTCTGATACACTTTTACATAAATCATTTTTACCAAGCAGATGTAGTAATACACTTTTACATAAATCATTTTTACCAAGCAGATGTAGTAATACATTTTTCGTAGTTATCGTACTAAACCGTAACTCTTGGAAAATATAGATAATTTAACAGAAAAAAAAGGTCAAATTCTATCAACTTTCTTTATTGCTTATAGGTTACTACATCTGCTTGGTAAAAATGATTTATGTAAAAGTGTACCTCCTACATCCTATTAAAGCATACATCCTACATAAGTGTACATCCTATATAAGTGTACATTCTACATCCTACTAAGTGTACATCTTATATAAGTGTACATTCTACATCCTACTAAGTGTACATCCTACATAAGTGTACCTCCTACATCCTATTAAAGTATACATCCAACATAAGTGTACATTCTACATCCTACTAAGTGTACATCGTATATAAGTGTACATTCTACATCCTACTAAGTGTACATCGTATATAAGTGTACATTCTACATCCTACTAAGTGTACATCGTATATAAGTGTACATTCTACATCCTACATAAGTGTACATCTTATATAAGTGTACATTCTACATCCTACTAAGTATACATTCTACTAAAGTATATATCCTACATAAGTGTAGCTCCTACATTCTACTAAAGTATACATCCTACTAAAAGTGTACATCCTACTAAAAATGTACATCCTACATAAGTGTACCTCCTACTAAAGTGTACATTCTACATCCTACTAAGTGTACATCATACTAAAGTATATATCCTACTAAAAGTGTACATCCTACATCCTACTAAAATATAAATACTACATCCTACTAAAGTATACATCCTACATAAGTGTACATCCTACTAAAGTATACATACAACATCCTACTAAAGTATACATACAACATCCTACTAAACTATACATCCTACATAAGTGTACATCCTATTAAAGTATACGTACAACATCCTACTAAAGTATACACCCTACATAAGTGTACATCTTACATCTACTAAAGTATACATCCTACATTCTACATAAGTATACATCCTACTAACGTGTACATCATACATAGGCTAGCATATGACGGCCTAACTAAAATAGATTTGCTGGTATATTTATCTTATTGACAATATAAAGGCCTTAAAGATTACTTTTTATTTGTTTACAAAGAAAAAATGTCGCTTCGCCTTGCGCCATTTTTATCCCATTTTTCCTTCTCTAGGTCTCTATTCGGTTCAACAAGGAACATCACTGTGGAGGAACAATTCTAGATAAACGGTGGATTCTGACGGCAGCTCACTGCGTGCAGTTGTAAGTAGATGAAGAAATTCAAAGTTTACTGAGGATATAAAAACATAGTGATCTCCAGTAATTTTGAAACATCATTACTTTAATCTTGATGATTGGATGATGAACGATAAACGGAAAATAGTTTGTTTTTCTTACGTTTAAATTCATGAGTGAAAAAAAAACGTAAGTGTATTATTCTGTATGTTTTTGGCATCCTCTGTTAAAAAACAAAAGCATAAGCCTTATGAAGTCTCCGCGTAAATGGAAAGCTCATTCTTTTGATATTCACTAATCCACTCGTTATATGTGTATCCTGCAGTGAGTGGTGAAATGAATTGTTAACGTCATGACATTTTTACTTAATGGTTAAGCCTTCCATCTGACTATGAAAGTCAATGTTGAATACACAGATTTTTATTGTAACATAACCGAGAAAGTTTGTCTAATACCTATTTAATAGTAAGTCTTAAAAGCAAGATATAAACTTTTTTATAAATCAGTAATCAAAACTATGGAGAAAACAATACCACTTGTACATTCCTGAATAAGGTATTTTCTATATAGAAATCCGCTTTTTAGCTGCTGCATAGCAGCTCATAAAATGGCTCTGAGTTGTTGCTTTTTTCAAGTACAAATTTTTAGCTCATAGCTCTGTCATATTTTGACCTAGGTGAGATCTAATTACAGTTTTGGGCTCAGGAGGTCAAATCCTTTCGATTTATGTATTTGACCACGCCCAAGGTCTCATAGATTAATTTACTCTAATCCTGCCTAAAATGATTTCAGTTTGAGGGTAGGCTGGTAAAGATCCTGATGAATAATAAAATCGAATCGGGTATACACGAGCTCCACGTTTGGTATTGCTGGCGCACAAAAATATAGCTAATAAAAGGCCTCATAGATTAATATACTCTAATACTGCCTAAAAGAATTTCACCGAAGAAACGACTAGTTAGTGGCACACAGTCCTGTTGTTCGTGATTTTAGTTTTACTTTATTCTGTACATTGGTGTTTGGTAAGTGTTCTAGACTTTAATCTGTACACTGGTGTTTGGCAAGTGTTCTAGACTTTATTCTGTTCACTGGTGTTTGGTAAGTGTTCTAGACTTTAATCTGTACACTGGTGTTTGGCAAGTGTTCTAGACTTTAATCTGTACACTGGTGTTTGGCAAGTGTTCTAGACTTTATGGTAAGTGTTCTAGACTTTATTCTGTACACTGGTGTTTGGAAAATGTTCTGGACTTTATTCTGTACACTGATGTTTGGCAAGTGTTCTAGACTTTAATCTTTACACTGGTGTTTGGCAAGTGTTCTAGACTTTATTCTATAAACTGGTGTTTGGGAAGTGTTCTAGACTTCAATCTGTACACTGGTGTTTGGCAAGTGTTATAGACTTTATTCTATAAACTGGTGTTTGGCAAGTGTTCTAGACTTTAATCTGTACACTGGTGTTTGGCAAGTGTTCTAGACTTCAATCTGTACATTGGTTTTGGCAGGTGTTCTAGACTTTAATCTGTACACTGGTGTTTGGCAAGTGTGATAGACTTTAATCTGTACACTGGTGTTTGGCAAGTGTTATAGACTTTATTTTGTACACTGGTGTTTGGCAAATATTTTAGTTTGACTTACGTTATGCGATATATATGAAAAACCTGAAAAATTGAGCAGTAGTATTTAGAGACATGTAATTTTTACAGATACACCGCCCGTCATTTTGTTGTTCGTGTTGGCGAGTTTGATTTATCTGAAAAGGAAAATCATCACACCGAAGATATCAATGTCCAACAAATTATTGTTCACCCTAAATACTCTGACCCCAAGCGATATTATAACGATATAGCTATTTTGAGATTGGCAAAAGACATTACGTTTTCTGATTACGTCAGACCTATTTGTCTACCGGATGCTTCGAGCTCTTATGTAAACCATGAAGGTACTGTCGTTGGCTGGGGTTTTACTGACGATCCAGAGGAAGGTAACCGCTACTTCTTTACTATATTTGTTGCCATTGAATAATAAGATTTTAGTACAAAAAATAAGTCAAATTTCCATTCCCTAAAAGAGTAATTTAGTAAATAATTTGGGTTTATAGATTATCAGTCAATGAAAAAAGAATCAGCTAGTGAAAAATATTCTGATTATTTTCGTTTTAACTATTAATTGGTGCATGACAGGTGTTTTAGTTTGACTTAAGTTCTTTTTATTACTTTTATAGCTATAAAAATTCAGAATATTACAATATTACCCTAGAGATGGTGTTTATTATTAAGCACAAAACTACACAAAAGACTATCTGTACTCTGCCCAACACGGGCATCGAAACCCTGTTTCTAGCGGTATAAGTCCGCAGACATATCGCTGTGCCACTGGGAGACTACCCAAATAGAAGTAATGAATATTTGGTACATTTAAGTGTTTTACACTCACAAAAAAGAAACCTGTCATTCTATACGTATCTGAAGAACT